GAACAAAACAGCGCAGTGTGCAGCATCTACTGCCTTTCTACATTGTTTCCCGAATCAGGCAGAACTAGTTTCCCAAAATAAGGGGACCCTAATATAGACCCCCAAAATATTGATAATCCCTTATTATGGGGACCCCCAATAAGGTACCCCAAATTTTGGGAAACCCCCATACCTTGCTTCCAGGCAGCTCCTCTCGGGTGTCCGTTTTGAGGACTACCAGTGTGGAACGCTTATAACACCTACTGTTGATGGAGGAAATCTTGCACCACCTTAAGTCCCTAAAGTCCTGGGAATTACAGTAATTTAGGGCCCCTAGGTGGTGCAAGATTTCATCCATCAACAGTATCTCCTAGATTCGATGGGAAAGCACCGTTGCTGACAGGCACCCAACCATATTCTAGGGACTTGAAGACATCCAGGGTTGAATGCGTACGTACAAGCATACATACCATACAGACAGACATACGTGCTTCCACCAAGTTACAGCAGTTACAGAGGGCCCGCCGCACCATACTATAGCCCATATGGCAGGGACCCCCAAACGGGACTGTACACAAAGAAACTTTTCCGTATAGCCACCCTTAAGTAGAGAGAATTTGGCTTAGGGTGTGTTATAATAAGATCCCCATATACCCTATATTCTATCTATTAAAGGGGGACTATAAACCCTGAACCTTGCCAATTGGCACCTTCCGGGTTGCCAATCTGGCTCTGGAGGTAATCGTGGTACTTTGCCTGGCGGTCAAGCAGGGTTTAGGATTTAGGGCTTAGGATTTAGTAAGTCAGTAGACGTATAATCCCTCTAAACCATATAGTAGTCCCAGCTAACCCTGTTATGAACATACTTGCTAAGTCCCCCTGACCCTCCAAGCAGGGTTTTGGCTTAGGCTTAGGTTGTGCAGGTTGTTGGGGCTGCTTCCAGCTTTGGAATTGAGGCTTCAGAGATCTCTGCACTGACAATAGATTCTTGCACCCGGGTTCCCAATGCTAAGCGGCCTAAACATTACAGTCCCCCTTAAGTAGATAGAATATGGCTTTGGGTAAATTTTAATGAGATTCTCATATGCCCCATATTCCATCTGCTAAAGGGTGACTACAAACCTTAGGCCCCGACGCAGCTTCACTCTTGTTTGGTTTTGATCTTAGGCTGGAGTGGAACTTCCTGGTCCGCAGCATGCAAAACGCGTAGTGGCTCAGGCACCACGTGAGCCCTGGACTAAATTTGTAGTATCTCCCTTAATAGGTCCCCCTCGAAACCCTGTATAATCCCCTACAGGCCCGCCCCAACCTAGATTTAGTCCGTAGCTCACATAATGCGGCGAAAGCGTATGGTTCACTTTTTAAGGGTGCTTCAAGTGCCTGATCGCTACACAGAAACAACTGATATCGGCTTCATTCGCCAAACTTCCCCGTGGGAATTCAGGAGCTTCACCATCACCACTGGGTGGTCGGACACGTATTTTAGCGCTTGTACTGACCCCTAGCAAACACGGAGAACAATGGCATATGCATAGATGTAGCCATGTGAAGCAAGTCCCAGTTCGATAAGCCCATGTTTGGTCAGGAGTCAAAAATACCTTACCTCCAATGCTCCCAAAGCCCGCAAATCCTAAGCACCGTTGCAACACCTAAACCCTAAACCCGAAAACCAAACGCCTGAACCCTAAACCCTAGAACCCTAAATCCCAAACCCCTAACCCCTAAACCGCAAACTCCAAAGGCCTAAAACCCCAAACCCTAAAACCCATGGATCGACTTGTGGCCTCGAAGTCCTTGATTCCCTTCCAGTAGGCCCACTGCCTTGCTGAACTTACTGATGGCTACTATAGGGACTCAGGGTTTAGGGTTTTAGGGTTTAGGGTTTAGGATGGTTTAGGGTTTTGGGTTTAGGATGGTTTAGGGTTTAGGGAGGATGGTTTAGGGCCTAAGTGGGGGGGGGGGGTTCCCAAAATTAGGGGTATACAGGGGTTATCTAGGGTCTTTATAGGGGGTTATATAGGGTTTAGGGATTTCCCAAAACTAAGGGGACCTTTTTGGGGGGTTCCCCATAAGAAGGACGTCCGCTTGTTTTGAAAAGCTACCATATAGGGTTTACGGTTCAAGGTGGGAGTAAGGGATTATCTGACTTATGTAGGGTTTATGTAGGGATTCTATTCCCTTATTCCCTAAACCCTAGAAACCCCAAGTAAGTCAAGGTTTCAGGACTTCACACAAGAGGGCTTCAGGATTGGTGGAAGGTTTTAGGGCCTTCAGGATTTAGGGCTTAGGGGTCTAAGGTTGCGGGGGGGTCTATGGAGTTGCGCAGGGGTTATGTGGGGATGTCGGGATACATATAGAGGGTCTGGGGCTTAGGGGTAGTGTCCTCCTAAACCCCCTAATAAGAACTTTTTCCCATGGAGTACACATAGGTCTCCAGGCAAGCTTTGTTGCAGGGTTTTATGAGTGGACAAGAAGGAAAGTTTCCTTCGACTTTGGGGATTTTGTGGCTTAGGGATTCAGGTGGAAGTTTCCCTAAATTACTGTTCTCAAAATGNNCCCGTATTATAATAGGAACCCAAATATAGGACCCCGTATTGACAGTAATTTAGGACAATCCCCATATATTTCCCCCAAACTCCATGCTGCCAGACCCAAAGTGTAATTCAGCAACCGAACCTTACCCTCAACATTAATTCCCTTGGAAAGCCAGGTAGAGGGTTTGGGATGTTCACATTCACCGCTTTCGGGTCTCATCTGGGTGGGACCGAGTCCTAGCCGTGGTAGCAAGCATCCTGACCCTTACACCCTACATGGTTTAGAGTTTCCGGTTTTGGGTTTAGGGTTTTAGGGTCTTGGGAGCCAAACAACCAGAAATAAGACAGCTGTTCCCACACAACCGCTTTTTGTAAGGCAGCCATTCGATTTCTGCTTGTTTGGCTACCCAGGTACTCCCAAAAAAGAAAGCGCGCCGATCCAGGGCCTGGCGCTCTGAGCCTACCGTGAGGTTCATGGAGAATTATAGGGTTATATAATATATAGGGGCTAATATATTGGGATAATGGAAAATACAATGGAAACTACTATATTCTAGGTTTATATAGCGGTAACATAGGGGTTATATTGGGATAATGGAAAGCAAGGTAACAATACCCACGCTCCACCCCACTTTAGGTGCTTATAAACATGAAGTACAATTACCAATGAACTTGCAAGTAGGGCTGAAACGGGGGTATCTTTAAGCTTGCTTGCTCCAACCAGCTTCCGCCGCGGAAACGTATGGCAGTGCTCCCAAACACAGCAACCACTGAGACGCCTGGAAAGGTGCGTCATTTTCGTTTTGGGATGCCCTTGCGGTGATCTGGTTTTTACATGATCTTTCCTTGACAAGGACTTCTAAAACAATGCTGATGCAGATTTCTAGCTGCCTTCCCAGAGCAACAGAAACTCCTGCAAGAGAATCCCGACGCAACATCTATAGGTCTGGGCAGAGGTCTCGATCTTCACGGGGAAGGACCGAGGATGCAGACTCAAATTTACCTTCACAGCGCAAGGCGTCTCTCTTGACCACAGCTTCGGGCTTGCAGGGTTAAGGGCTGGTATATGCCAGTGATCTGATCCCTGCATCCCTTCTCGCAACGCAGCAGTGTGCCCCAAATAGGGCACGCAATTTGCCTACTTGCAAGCCTACTGATAACCCACATAAATCTGAAGCAACCCCAGCTATTCGCATCATTAACACTGAGCAGTCCCCCTGACCCTCCATGGACTGGCTCCAGGTTACCAGATATATCTGCAGGTAACTTCGCCTGCCAATGAGGATACTGCCAAGACATCAACTTGCGTGACTGTAGACATCCAAAGATACCTTGACTCCTAGCTGTTCAGGGTCTAGGGTTTTGGGTTTTGGGCTGCAAGGAAGATCTGTGATTTAGGCACATGGCCTCATCAGTAAACAGCCGCCTCTTGACCCACAATGGAGAAGCAAACGGATAAGAACATGGAGAATGCTATGGCCATGGCAACTACGTTAACATGGGGTTGACAGGGATCATAGCAATAGTAAAAGGATGGTCGTCCCTCATCTAGAGGCCCCTTTTCCCAACATTTTCTCTTAGGGCTCGGCGTGTCTGTGTCAATGTTCATCTTGATCACGCCGTAGTCAACAGCCTGCAGCACTCATGCGTTAGGGTTTAGGGTATTATTATTGTGAAAATAATAATTTCTTCTCATATCATCTGATCTCATAATATCATTGCGTCCCCCCCGCCCCTCCCCAATGCTCATGAGAAAAAAGTGATCCCCGTGGTCCCGTTCAACCTCCATGGATGCCCCAAGTAATCCCCCCACAGGTGAACGGCTCTGTTCTGCAGGTTCATTTGTTGCCCTTGCCACATAGACCCTGATTAGGGTGGCTCCCGTATCCTCATGAATCAATGCACTCGGCAAGCCCAGGAGGTGACGGTGGGGCAAATGGAATGGGGGTCGTGGCCTCGTTGGGGCCGCAATAAATGCCTCTCTACCGCTCTTTACTTCTCCAGCCCTTTGGAATACCTCTCCAACCCTCGAACTACCTCTCCAACACCAACCCTAAACTTACTGGTGTTAGCAGGGAATGGCAGAATGGATCCACATAGTTGCCAGCACAGAGTCCTTAGCACCGCTGTTCCTTGATTCCCTCCCAGTAACCCCAGACTTAGACCCCCGCAGGCTACAACATGCTTTTCAGACCCGAACACCTAAAATCTACCTCAACACAATCTTGGTTTTAATCCAGCCGAAGCCCAATAATCCCCACCCCTGCCACACGCCCCGAAACCTCCTAACAACAACTGCCTCCCAAAAAATCATTACACCCCGGCCCACCCCCAGGTCATGGTAAGCCTTAGAGCTTCCCCAAAGCGATCCATCATAAATCCTAAACCCTAAATCCTAAACCTTTAAGCCTAAACCCTAAATCCTAAACCCTTAAGCCTAAACCCTAAATCCTAAACCCTTAACCCTAAACCCTAAATCCTAAACCCTTAACACTTGCGTGCCTCGCGGATGTCCTTCAGGTCTGAACCGGAACCACCGTGGAAGACGAAGCTCACAGGCTTGCTTCCCTCCTTGGGAAGTAGGGCGGTTTAGGGTTTGGGGTTTAGGATGTAGGGTTTAGGATTTTGGGCTTGGGGTTTAGGGTTTAGCGTTTAGAGTTTAGGGTATGGGATGCAAAAGGTTCTGAAAATTCAAGGTCCCTTTTTGCGGGCCCCCGCAACAGGGACCGCAGTATCTTGCGGGTGTATATTGGGATCCCCTCGTTTCCGAAACTACCATTTTCGGATACAGAGTTTAGGATCTAGGGTTTCGGGCTTCCGATTGAAGGTTTTAAGGCCTGTCGGGTGTAGGGGGTGTTGGGGGGTTAGGGCATTGGTGTGCAGGGTCTGCAGTTTTGGGACTTTTGCCCAGCGCTGGAAGCTGTTTAGGACTCCCTTTGACATCCATTCCCGGAGTTCCTATTACACACCGGAAACATGAACATGGCCCGAAAAATGGCTGACATGTCCCATCATGAACCAGAATATGCCTTCTATTGAGAAAGATGCTTCTTGGTCCCACGATCGTGGACACAGAATCTGACTTTCAGGGCTTCCGACCCATGAGTGTTCTGGCAGGACGCGTGTTGTGCCTACCAGTTGGAGAATGGAGGAAGGGATCCACACAGCAGCCCCTATAGAAACCCTGAACCCTAAACCCTTAAACCCTCAAACCCTCAACCCTAAACGCCCCAACGATACATATTTCATACTAAAGCCAAGCAAGTTTGGTGGCTCCGGCTTGCCGGCCGATCTGCTATATAGTAATTTCCATTCTCTTTTCCATTGTCCCTATATAACCCCAATATACTATACTACATTTTTTTTCGGGATTCTGATTTCAGGGGATATACCCTATCTTAATATAGTATTTTCCCTTTTTCTCCATTATCCCTATACAACATGAGTTCGCCATCTTGAGATCCAGACTGGTTCGCCAATCTTCTCGGCGATGTACCTCAGCAGTGAACTGCACGATGGTAGCACCCAAACGTTCATGAAGGGACCTGCTGGCATCCTATTGACACAGAACGACGAACGTCCCGACCCTCGTTCTTCTGGCCTCAGCTACCCAGTGGGAACGACTAATCATCTACTCGTGCGAACTTGAGGATGATCGCCTAGCTTTTCAAGAAGTCAGTGCGTTACATAGAAAAGACGAAACCTGGATCTTCTTAACTCTAACAGAGCCGAGGATCGGCAACAACACCCTGAGGCAGGAACCTCCTGCAAAAACATGAAGCGTAGTCTAAACTCCTTTAAGGGGGCTACAAAGGGGATTATATTGAGGACTATGGATGCTAGGAGTCCAGACTATAGCTCATATGACATACCAGAACCCCTTGAGACAGTCAGATTTTCAGTGTCCATCACTCCGTGCAAGGATGAAAGCCATCCCGATGACGCCTTGCTTACAAGCTTCACAAGGACCTTTAGGGTTTAGGGGTTTTACTCTTTGGAGGCGGGGTGATCAAACCCTGAACCCTGGAGCTTAACTGAATATTCTCAACCTCCACAGCAGGGACTCCTTTGCCAGAGGACCACCCGAAAGGCCTCCCCAAGGTCTGTTGATATGGTAGTTTTCATTGTATATAGGGGGCCCCAGATACTACAGTCCTTATTACAGGGCCTAATTTTGGGAACCCCAAACCATATGATATGGAATGTCGTCTAGCATCTCGAAACTGTAGAAATTCTCGGCAGCTACTCTGCGCTCTCTTCTGCGATCCCAGTAGTTTTAGCTTTAGGGTTTCGGGTTAAGCTGAGTTTCTCATTTGCGCTATAGTCTAAACTCCCAGTATCCCCCTTAATAAGCCCTATAATAAACCACTATATAATCCCATACATAAACCCCCTTTAAGGAGTTTAGACTATAGCTCATTTGACTAGTGCTTGGCGGGGAACGGAGGAATGGGTCCCTCCAGTAGTTGACTATCCCCGGGCCAAATGTTTCTTTCTGTCTTTCCCAACCACTTCCTTTGGAGCAGGCTCTCCGGGGCAAATCCTTTGCCCTGTGATACCCTTCACTAAATTAACATGGACACCTATACACCCCCCGCTCTTCAAAAACTATGTCCCTCTTGGGGTTCTATATTGGTAGGGTAAATGAAGCTAAACCCCAAACTTTTTCTGAATTGGCGAGTCGCTTCTGGGCTGCTTCCAGGATCTTAGGCTTCAGGACCACGTTGCCAGGCTGGTAGACGCCTGTTTGACAAACACTTTTGCTGTGCTTCCGTATTGCGCGGGCCCCCGACATGTTAAATGTCTTCCTATTAATAGTATGAACCGTATGGCGTACGCATTCATTGCCATGACAGTTTGAGTGGCGGGGACCAAGGTTTAACATTCCATGTCCCTTAGACAGTCTTTGCTCCGCCTGTTTGAAGAGATTGCTGAGGTGAATGCCGTCAGCAGCTGCTCCAAACTTCTGCTCAATGCTTTAGTTAACTCGGGTGCCCTCAGCACGCCCACCACAAGAACACCTGCCGAACTGCAAACAACTCACTGTTGGGCCATGCATGAACCAAAACTTGTTGCAAAACAAGACTCCTTTGAGTTTAGGGGGGGAAAAGATTTCGACTTGTATAAGATGCTTGAGGCCACGAGGGGACAGGTAACCTAACGGTCGCCAAGACCTTCTAGAGCTCCCTGAGCACGCTGGGCTTACGAACAAAAATCCCCTATCGTAACAAAGACTTACCGAAAATAAAACCCTTGAAATCCTCCTCTAATCGTTTAGCTCCCCATAGGATCCATGCCCCTACCAACATGGCAGGCAGATTTTTCCTAAAGACTCCCCTTGCAGTCCTTTAGACTTCAAACACCGAGGCCCCAGATACCTCATCCGGCAAATCTGGAAAAGCTCATCACTGTTTTGATTTAACCAAGCCCGCCACAAACTCCAGAGACCGGAAAGTTTTTGCCACACCCTAACCCCGGACCCCTAAACCCTATGTTGGAACATCTCAACGGCTTCCAGAAGACTGGATCCCGCTATGAAGCCTCCACGAGGAGCAAGAGCATGCAAGATATTGGGGTTATAATGGGATAANNCTACTATAGTATATTGGGGCTATAAAAAAGTCCCAATGTTGTGCTCTGACAGCCCGAAGAGTCTATTGAGGTCAGTGTTCCCACGACCCCTTTGAAACTTCTATATGAAAGCCCCTGGCCGCCTGTATAGGGTTCAGAGTTCAGGGGAGTTGCTGGAGCTGGCATGTTGTCAACATGGGAGTTTCGGTGCAGACTTGACGGGCCCAAGACTAGGCCATCCCCAAACCCAGATGAGCTATGGTCTAAACTGTTGTGAAGGGGGATTAAATAGGGGTTATTAGGGGGAATACTAGCAGTTTAGACAATGGCTCAGATGGTACCCTGGAACAGAATAATGAGGACTGTGCTGTCAGGCTTGCTCCCTTTAAGCCCTGGATCCGGGCACCGTGGACGTTGCCGAAGGCAGCTGCGATGGTGAAGAAGCCGTTTGGCACCTTTCTAAATTTCCAACCGCCCCAGGGCTTTGAAGGTCTCAGCTATAATCCCTATATACCCCATTATAGTAGTTTCCATTTTATTTTTCATTATCTCGATATGGCCCCTATATATACATTAATATATGTTCCAGAGCAATGTTCGCATCATTCCCAAGTGATCCCTGCGCATCTCCAAAACTCCAGTGCCCGTAGATCGGTGTACAGGGAGCAGAACTACTCAGTCACGAGCCTAACGTCTAAGATCAAGAAGGATCTCAGAAGCTACTCTCAGCCAGCAGGGAATCTCAGGTAGCATTCCCTGCTGCTTCACTCAGGTTTTCAGCAAGAGGTCCGCGAAGTGGGTGTAGTACAGCCAGTAGCTTCAAATACTGAATCCTAAGCCCTAAACCCAAAATAATATGGCAGTTTCCGTTTCCTTCTCCAGTATTACCAAGTCCGTAAGCAAAGGGCGTTGGATTAGACGTTTAGTCAGGAAGGAGCCGCGACTTGCCTGCGCAAGAACAATAGAGGGGGTTATAAAGGCATATGTGGGGTAATTTGGATGGAAAAAGGGATTTATACATACATATGTATATATATATATGGTAATATCTATATATATGTGTGTATTTGTAGGGTGAACAAGGATTATTTAGGTTGATATAGGGGGTTATAAGGGTTATGCAGGGTGTTCTGGATGCAAAAGGAGATAAATAGCGTGAAGTCCCGTCATACACGCATCCAGGTGACACAAAGGTCTACGAGGCTCCCGGGGTTTCAAGGTAATTTCGCTTGCGCACTTCAGCAAAGATTCCCGAAACTTGTTTGGAGGCACATTACTTATATCGCACCCAGGAACGGATTACTTTGGTATAGCTCTATCTGGGCCACTGTCTAAATTCTTAATATCTAGTCCGCTATAAAATCCTTTCTATAACCCCCTTTGATTAAGGAGTTCAGATTATGGCTCGTATAAGCGCCAATGAGATGACAGTCTAGATTTTATCCTCCTTTCATGCTCTGCTAGCAAGCAGCAGTAGTACCTACAACTTAGCAATACTTCCTGCTAATTAATTCGGAAGTAGAACCCATGAAGCTGTAGCAAACTGGGGTTACAGGTAGATCCTAACCAGTAAGTCCCGACAACTGACTAGCGGCTACACAGAAGCCATCATTGCTGGAGAGACACTCCCTCTGCTTCCCTAAGCTTTTAATGCTTGTCTCGAAACCAAGAAGAGGCTGCAGCATGCTAGGTATGCCACAGAACCCAGAGTGTTGTCCGTACTAGTAAGCGCACGAAAATGTAAGATATGACCTTCTCATATCTTAGTTTTTTCTCTACCTAGCTTGCCAGGATGAGAAATGGCTTTTAGGAATGATCTTGCAGATCAATTCCTTCATGTCCTACCTGGTTTCAAGAGGCAGAAAACGATTGACGCTTCGCGGGCACCTTGGCCAGTGCCTCATAGACCTGGTAAATCTCCTGACAAGTGCAAAGGTGCAAATCAACAACTCACCCTCTGCTGCAAGGATCAAGTCTCCAGGACCGCATAGACCTTTACCATTTTTTCAATCCGGGGGTTCTGCTACGAGGATCAGGATCCTCCTAAATTCCACTCTAGCGACCCAGGCCGCAGCCATCAAACCCATCACGTTCTCAAAGGCTCATTCTGTGCTTGTCCCTGGAAGGTATCTCGCGCTCTCTCTCTATCTCATTCTGGAGCTGGCCATTCAGGGATTACAATGACTTAGGGTCTTGCGATACTTTGGAGGAAGAGCCTCATGGGCCAAGCTTGGGCAGGCTTGTAGTCCCTAATCCTAATGGCAGTACCTTCTAGAAGTTCTAGACTCCTTATATACCCCCAAGATAACCAGGCTGTCCCCATACTACCCAGAACCTGCGGGGGTCCAATCAAGCATCCCCCCAGAAAAGTCCGGAGTTTGGCTGTGCACCAAGATCATCCTGGGGAGTCCTTGAGCTGTTGCATATCAAAGAGAACTCCTAAGAAAGCTTAGGTATTGTGCCATTCAAAAAGATCAACAGGATTTAGGGTTTAGGGATTTAGGGTTCGGGGTAAAGGTCAACAGCCCACAGAAGCTTTCCAGGTGGCCTGTTCTCAGAGACCGGGCTACCGTTACCAATCCTAAACCCTGAACCCTTTGATGGCTTGACGGGAATAGTCTGCCTGAGCGAAGGAGCTTAAAGGGAGGCCCCAGTGGAACCTCAGGTTTCCCTAAATCGGGGGTACCATTTTGGGGATCCCCATAGTGAGGACTCTATTATATAGGGGTCCCCAGAAGCCCATCAACAGTGAAACAAGACTGGGTTGCTGTTAAGGAACTTGAATTAAGTTACCAGAATGTCTATTGGGGTCTATATTGGGGTACCCCTGTTTATGGAAACCATACCACACGTCATGCAACATGTTCACTCCTCAACTATCCATCTGCTGAAGCCTCAAAAGTCTTCAGTCTCTGCACCCTTATTAGTATCAAGCTGAACCTGAGCCCCCAACGCGAGCTTCGCAACATGCATGCTGCTGAGCTATAACTCCTTGATGTCCCTGAAGCCCTAGACACTGATTGGATCTTCGTAGAGTAGGGTCATGCAGCATGTAGAACAATCACAGAAAGAACCCCCCCACCCTGTCAACTGCACATTCTCTCCTCAGGCTTGGAGTAAAGATCCTCCGGATTGGCGTCCTCAGAGAGCAAACAAGATTGCGCAAACAAGGGTGTATGAGTTAGCATAGGGCATGCCCGTTTTGCTGCATGTTCCAGGTTCTATGAACACCAACTCCAGAAGCATCACCATCCTGATTTGGCTAGAATAACATACTTTCTTCAGATCTCTGACGTTCAAGTGCTTGGAGATATAGTCCCCCTGAAGAGATAGAACATGGCTTTGGGTATATTATAAGAAGATCCCCATATACCCCATATTCTATCTACTTAAGGGGAACTAAGGAGATGGAAGGCTTTCCCAGAGGGTCCCTGTACCCAATAATTGGGTACTCGGGATTTGGGTAATCGTAGTTTTGGTATAGGTTATGGGAAAGTATATGATTATCATATACTTGGACCCTTAGGGTTTTAGGATTCCCCTATGATTCTTCGGGCTCTGGCTTCGAAAGCTCTATTCGTGGCCCTCCCATGGGCTATCAGCTCATAATTCATAAGCAAAACATTGTAGAACCCTAAGAAAACCGGCAAGGAGCGGAATCCGCAAAGCTAGGGAACCTCTACCAAATAAGGTTCAAAACGAGTTGCAACAAGACCAGACAAGCCAGACTACAGCGCTACTGAAAGCAATGGAAACCCTTTTCCAATGCCTGGTTATATTCTGGGATAATGGAACAGAAAATGGAAGCTACTGTAGTAAATAGGGGTTATATAGGGATAATGGAAAAGCAAATGGAAACTACTATATCCGCCCACCCCAGAAGCTTCCCGCGAGTCCTCGTTGTTCACACCATCCTCCTCACCTCCGGTAATCCTGTGAGGCTTTCAGAGCTTCAACTCTTGTCTCTCAGGTGGTGTTTTAGGTTTAGGGTTTAGGGTTTAAGAAAAATCCAATGGAAAAAAACATGGCGCATGACATGAAAACTGGAATTACATGCAGATTCGTGGGGATGATGTACCGTAGAAGCCTGAGGAGGGCTTTTAAATTTGCCGTCTGCTATGATTTTGTCATAACTTAGGCTTCTGCATTGGGAGCCAGGCCTTGTCGTCACTCCCAGCTGTAAACTTGCCTGGTATATCGCGAAACACCGGCGCTATCTATGATGGTAAGTAGTACAAGAACAGCAAAGTATAGGATATGAGCCATAGTCTAAACTCCTGAGATGGGGTTATATGGGGAATTATATGGGATATTAGGGGCTCAGACTATAGCTCATATGACCTGATTATCACTGGGGTATTCTTCGGTGCCTCCTCTAACCAGGCTACATGCTCCCAACTAGATCATGAAGCCAAAGCACCCACCGCCAAACCCTCAAACCCCAAAGGAGATGCTAACACGTCCCCGTGATTTCTTTATCTGTTCCATGGTTGGATAATTTTATGTATTGCTGAGGACTTCTAGCCAAAGGATTGCCGCAAGAAAGATAGAGATAGAGAGAAAGACGTAGAACCCCGCATGGGCGACCCTGTAAGACTATAAGCGGAACACGGAAATCATGGGGCCCGTATTTTGGGGCTTGGGGTAACTCCAGCCCGCGTATTATCTTCAGCAAACAGCCCGTAAACAACTCTGAAACCAATGTTTCCATTTCATCTTGCACTTGATTGCATGATCCCCATAATGCTAATCTAAACTGCAACTCCCAAACCCCAAGCCCTAATGCAGACCCATGATTAATAAATCAAGGGTTTCGTTAATCAGGGGTCTGGGTTACCATCCCTGAACCCTAAACCCTAAACCCTAACCCCTTCCGGTCCCCAACTCCATCTCGAGGCCGCAATTGATCTTGGCCATACGCTCCATGTACTTCACCTGGATTCTCTGATATAGGGGTTTCAGGGTTTAGGGGTTTTTAAAATTTTTAGGGATATTAGAGAATCAAATGGAAAAGAACATGGAAAATGCCAACTGGGTCAAAATACTGCTTTATTGGGATTGTGGTTTCCTAATTTTTGGGCATGCCTTTTTAGGGGTCCCAGGAATACGCGTGATAGTATGTTGGAGTCTATATCTATACACTGCCATTTAACGAATCCGCAAACCTGAAAAACCTGAAGATAATAGGTTTTCAGGAAGTGGAGGAGAAGTGTATGTGTGCACCTCTCTGTGAGTACGCCCCTTACGGTAAGCCGAAGGTTGTCGAGCCTTAGCCGAAGGTAGGCGAACCCCAGAGGGTTCACCGAAGCCCTAAACAGGATTCTGCAAACGAGTTCTATCAACCCCCCGAAGGGTTCTACAAACCCGCCAATTTTCTGCGAACGTTAGTGGTATGGCTCTGAGGTGACCCAATGGTGTGTGCTCAGATGTTTTCCCTAAGGCCTAAGTTAAACAGAATGGGGCTGAAGGTTTTGGGAGTTTTGGCTCTTGAAAAGATTTGCGCATGCTTTCCCTGCCCGTGCTTAAACAGTAACTCAGGAATGTAGTATGCGTTCTTGCAGAGGTTTATCGCTAGCTAGACTAGCTGCTCGGGATCAACCACAGAGGTGCCATGTTCAGCTTTCAACTGAATCATTTTGGGATGTATGAAGCTTCTAGAAGTATGTATGAAGCTTGTAAGAAAGAGGCCATTGCCAACGATGCAGGTTCTCTTTCACCGTTTGACTGCGCACCTAGCAGACCCATAGTCCCAACTTCCGTAAATTACTGGAGAACACTTGGGAAGCTTAACCCCAAGCAAAGGAAGAACCTTTAACTTCTGGGGCCCTCGGCTCAGCTTGCAACAAGGTCTGGTGTTGAAATTCCTTCTTGCCACTTGAACCCTCAACCTGCATCTTAAACCTTCTGCCTGTGAACCCCCCAAAACCAACAGTCCAACATCCCCTGGAGCTAAACCTTGAATGTAGGATCCGCGCACAAATCTCGATGTTCTCCTCCAACGGCTCCTTGCTTTTAGGGCTTCAGCCTCTTTGGTTCAAGGCTTAGCGTTTAGGGCTCAGGGTTGAAGGTTTGGGGTTTAGGGCTTAGAAGCTACCCGGGTGGCCGGCCATAGGTGACAGGTCCCTTCTGGGCTGCGTATTTCAAGCAGGGTGCATGAACGCCACCAGCATTCAGGGCTACACAAGGCATTAAACCCTATATGGTACATGAGCTATAGTTTAAACTCCTAGTATCCCCTTAACAACCCCTAAAATACTCCACTATATCATCCGCTACAGAACCCCTTTTGAGGAGTTCACCCTACACCATCAACTGGCTTTGCTCCAACCTCATAGTCCTCCTCCTCCCAACTCGACCACTAACATGGAAACCGGGGTTGTAGTATAGAGGTTGTTAAGGGGGATACTTGGAGTTTAGACTATAGCTCATCAGGACTGTAATCTTGGTAGGACCCTTTTTTCCTTCTTTTTCTGATGTTCTACACGTCCAGACTTTCAACTTCTCGGTCAGGATTAAGCCGGAAACCCGCCCATTGCCAACACTCTCGACTGAAAACCTCAAATCCTGAGGGGGTTAGGGTTTATGGGGTTTAGGCTTTAGGGTTTTGGGGGGGTTCAGGGTTCCTAAGCCCTACACCCTGCTATTTAGGGTTCATAGGGTTTAGGAAACCCAAACCCTGAGTTCATATCTTTCGAAAGGAATGGACATCCCACCTTCGACTTCCAAGTCTGAGACAATCAACCCGGATTTAGGGTTTAGGGTTTTAGGGGTTTTAAGGGGATAGTCCGCTTCATAGACAAGGAAGACCGTTTAGGCTTTAGGGTTAATCTTTACTCTACTCCCCATAATGAGGAGTGTAGTATACAGGGCTCTATATTGGGGACCCCCTGTCTATGGAACCTACCATATGACCTAATCATAGTCTAAACTCCCAGCATCCCCCTTAATAACCTGTAATACTCCCCTATAGGGCCCCCTTTAAAGAATTTAGACCGTAGCTCACATGACCCCGATTTCCATTTGATTCTGGGGCCTGCCCCCAAACAAGAGTAAACCCGGAACTTTCGAGCATCTCAACCGAGTATACGCTTCTTAGCTGGCTTGATTCTAAGGAACTTGAGTAACTTACCATACTGGGAATATATGGTAATCAAAATGCTTTTTTCCCCAATATAGTAAAGTAACTTAAACTAAGTTCCTTAACAGCCCCTCATATCATCAACCTCATGCCCTAACCCTATGGCCTAAACCTGAAGCATTAGACCCTAAGCCATGTGACCAGTCCTCGGACAGGTCCAGCATGTGCGAAGAGAACAGAGGTTCGCCATGAAGTTCGAAGTACCGCTCCTGCCATGGGTTCACACACTTTGGAGCTAAGTGTTTAGGGGTGGCATGGTGCCTTTTTAGATCATATGCGGGTTCCTCCCGTTGCGAGGGTTGAGACGGTTAGAGCTCAGGTATATAGGGTTTGGGATGCTTGAGATGCCGTATATGACGCCTGCTTTACTGGCATGGCATGCTCATGATCCTGTTATACCGCTGTACTATTCTAGGGAATAGCTTCTACAGTGCAGGCAGCTGTTGAAGTCTGCCTGGTCTGCATCCAGATTTTCGGACTCCATCGGCGCGACTCCGACACGTAAATTGACAAACTCAAGCGCCCGGACAAGCATGGCGTAAACCCTAAACCCTGTTTTTGGCGCAGCACACTCATGAGCGCACGAAGGTGCGAGCTGCTGCCCGGCCATAATGAATCAGAGGGGTTCCGAAAATTAGGGATACCGTATTCTGGGTCCCCATAATAAAACAAGGAATTTTGTATTTTCGGTTCAATATTAGGGTTGGCTTTTTTTCTGGGAAAATACCAACATGAGTTACGAGCGAACTTTGACCCGCAGCCCTTTGAACCTCCTAAACCCCGCAGTCCGAGTCCGAAAAGTCTCAAACCTAGAACACAAATCTGAAGCGTCTCTAAGCTCTCCAGGAATTAACTCTGGATCTTCCTCAACGTTGCGAACATTCTGGCTGCCAAAGAAACACTGCCTATCGGGAAGAAGCTCAGATCCTTAAAGCCTAATCTTCAGAAGCGCAACCCTAAACCCAAATTCAAGGGAAATTTCAGATCAGGAGTTACCAGGTGGGTAACCTTACATAAGGCTTATAGAAGGCTTACGTGGTGAGCCGAAGGGTATATAAGGCCTACTTGAGGCTTACGTGGGGAAACTACCGACCTGAAATTTCCTCGGATTAATCCCTACATCCGAGTTCCACAAACCCGAAGGGCCACACCCTCAACTCCAAACGCGTCAGGGGCTTACGTCAGCTTCCAGAAGGCCATCGAACCAAGGAAGCAGGTTCTTGGCGCAGTGGTCCTCGGTCAAATGGCTGCTTGAGGTGTCCAGAAGGGGTTAGGGCCAGGGACTGCGGTAGGGTAGGGTCCCTAGAGAGGGTTTGGTGCGGAGATTCAAATCGTGGATGACAATCTGGGGTGGGGGTTTAGGGCTTAGGGTTCAGAGGCTTAGGGTTTAGGTATTTAGGGTTTAGGATCTAGGGGTTTAGGGAAGAGGGTTTAGCTTGAAAATGCTACCCGGGAATCTGCCGTTAGGGGGTTTTATGGCATTGACCATGCTCTCCCAGAGTTTTCGGGTATTACAACAGTTTCTGGTTCTTTGAAATGGTCCACTAAACCCTACACCCAAAACCTCACGCTTACTGAGTGGGGGGCAGTATTCAACCTTAAACCGTAGGTCTGGACCTCTGAACGTTACTGGTTTGCTGTTCAGGAACTTAAGCTAAGATAGTGCAATAAGGAAACCCTATGAACTATTGACCGTCTACCCATAATATGGTAACTTAACTCAAAACCCGACAGCCTAAACCAGTTCCTCAACAGCAACCCAGTCTATTGCAGCTTGGGGGCAGTGTGGAGGATGACAGGCACGCCGTACTGCTCCGCCACGGCACGCACGTGGTACCTCAGAGATGTTGAGGCTTTAGGGGTTTAGTAGGGTTCAAGGTTTGTGGTTTAGGGTTTGAGGGCTTCCGGGTTCAGGGTTTAGAGGTTTAGGGTCTAGAGTTTTTAAGGCTTTCAAAAGTGGAAGGGCCCATTTGCGCGGTCCTTTTGCGAAGAGCTATGGTATTTTTGGGTGTGTAAGGAGGACCCTAATTTGGGAAACTCCCACAATTTTTGTCAACTGGAAGCCCCCCACAACACCCACATGTGACTTCACAATCCCCCTGATAGTAAACTCCCCACCCATTAGTAATGCAACACATCCTCCAACTAGAGTACCACTATATGACAGCAACAATAGTTCCATGATGGGGGTGGAGGTTTACTACAACCAGGGAGTGGATTATGATCTTCCTCCTACACCATAGCCCCACTATAACTCCCAAAAGATGAAAATCCAATTTATCATGTTATTGCTATGTTTTTCTGTTTGCTCATATCCTTTTCCCATCAGATAACATAAGTTACCACGCTATCGGTTTTTGCTCCTGGCACTTTCCCTTGATATGGGCATTACGGGAAATTGTGTTAGTTCTAGGTTCCCCGTTAACCCCTTAATAAGGATACCCTTTTCCCTAATGTTCAGCTTTAATGAGGAGACCCCACTTTAGAAGGGAACAACGGTACTACAAGGGTACCCAGACATGAGCCATGGACTATTATAGCTCATATGGTAATTCCCTAAATAAGGGGACCCCCAATATAGACCCCAAAATACTATAATCCTTATTATGGGGACCCCTAAAAGGTACCCCTAATTTTGGGAAACCCTAAGCCCTAAATAGTAGCTTCCATTTTCTTTTCCATTATCCCTATATAACCCCTATACTTTAAAGGGTACCCCCTCTTTTTGGTAAACCTCCATATAAACCGCAAAAACCCAGGGTTTTTTGTCCAAGCTCAGAGGATGCCAAGGAAGTCACGCACCCGACACCGCTCCGGCAATGGCAGCGTGGAACTCCTGTATATAGGGGTGATAGCCCCCTTAAGTAAATAGAATATGGGGTATATGGGGATCTTGTTATAATATACCCAATGCCATATTCTATCTACTTAAGGGGGACTATATATGGGGATATGTAGGATCCTTTAAAGGGGCATACAGCTTCTATATAGGGATATATGGGGTTTAGGGATTCTGGAGTGCAGAATGGGCTCCCTACTGGTGCTTCAGGGGGAGTGGGGGACTGAACCTAAGTACCATCATAGGGGTACATATGAGCTATAGTCTAAACTCCTAGTATGCCCCTTAATAACCCCTGTAGTAGTCCCCTATATAATCCCCGAAAAAAACCACCCCTTAAGGAGTTTAGACTATAGCTCATATGGGGATTCTACAAGGGTTAGTATAAGGATCCACTCCTTCACTCTCCCTTAAGTACCAGAAAGGCTCAGGTTTGTGTTAGGACTTGGGGTTTAGGGCTAATATAGTAATACAGGGGGATTTGGGGGGGTTACATAGGGATAATGGATAAGAAAATGGAAGCTACTATTTAGGGTTTAGGGTTTAGGGCTTAGGGTTGTCTAATCTTCTTTTCGGTGTACAGCTGTAGGTATGCTGGATGTTCTTTTACACTTAGCTCTGGAATAAGGTCGGCAAGCTGGTGTGAGGCCAAGCCGGCAGTCCTACAACGATGCCAGTGCTGTGAACAGTATATTATGGCATGGAATATACTAGAATGCTATGGGATATTCTAGTATATTCTGGTCTGTTTTGCTTGCTTGCACAATCTCCAGTCTGCCTAGCCAGACATGTTTCAATTGTTTGCAAGAAGGGCAAATGGAGCTAAGTGCCGCTGCCAACATCACAGAACATGCGAGCTAGTTGGAATGGTACGGCTATAGCCTTGGTGGGGCTCAATATACGGGGGTTTCCCAAATTACGGGGTACTTTTTGGGGGTCCCTATAATAAGGACTAGAATATTTTGGGGTCTATATTGGGGTCCCCCTACTTTGGGAAACTACCAGAAAGCAGTAGAAGCCATCACCTGGTTTTGATACCAAGTATATTATATGTCCTATGCTGAACTCTAAAACCTGATGCCAAATCCTTAGCTTAGTGTGTCCCTTTCCTAATCTTGGAGGTTCATGGGCTTTACTACTAGTTAAACCTTACAGAATCCATGCCGAGCAGGCAGGAAGCCCTTTGCTAAGAGGATGGAAGCTTTGAGCTTTGGGATTCTGGGGAGAAACAAGTTGCCCTCATGGTTCCTTTTGAATCCCATAGCGTCCTGGGGCCAGAACCCGTGCGAAGAAACCCTACTTCCATGTCGCAGCTGGCAGCAATCTTGAAATCCATAAGCCCTAATCCGAATCCTCTAACCGCAGCCCCTGAAACCCAATCCCCCTGTCCTTGTTGTCAAGGCCCTTTCCAGCGTAGAACCTGGTAGATTTGTTATGTGGTTGCTTTGGAAATGCGGGCAGCATAGGACCCCATGTATGGGAGTGTAAAAAAAGAAGATGAAAGGGTCCCACGTAGGGATTATATCAGGACAAGTTTAAAGGAAATTCCAACGAGTCACGGTATTTCTTGGGCAACCAAAACCTGGTAAAGCTGTGCGACACTTTCCGTAAGTCTTCTGGGGAATTTCCACAACATGGAGCCTCCCCCAAACCCTAAACCACACTATTTGGTGGCTCACGGATTTGGTGTACAGGACTTACCTCGGACCCCAAACAATGCGAAAGAAACAGCAGCAGCCAACAGAACCAGTTCCCAGGTAAGGATCACAACCTCCAAAGATTTCCTGTTTGGGAACATCTAATGTTTCAGGTCGCTTTGGCTCAAATTAAGCTGAGGATTGTTGGGTTGGGGCGTTCAAGGCTTCGTCCTGCGTTTTGTCCTTAGACACACTGTCTCATGGAGAAGGGCTCAGGCTTTGTGGGGTAGCATGGAAATCAGATCCTCGTCCTACAGACCTATTGTCCTGGTCAGTTGCTTCTTCAGCGAGACTGCAGTCTTCACGCGCAGAGTTCGGAAGAGGCTATATCTTAACGTTGAAAGCTAAGCCAAGCACCCCCACTCAGCTTGAACTACTATTTCCTTTCGTCCCCAAACCTCACCAACCATGTGGTAGTTTCCCAAAATAGGGGGACCCCCAATATAGACCCCAATACTATAATCCTTATTAAGGGGACCCCCAAAATGGTACCCCTAATTTTGGGAAACCCCCCATATGTCACCTACCCAGTTTCAATTCGAGCGCTTTGCAGAAGTCTGCTTTGCCAAGGTGCTGAGAACCTCCAGACGAGAACTGGATCATGATCGGCGCCTTGGGCCAAGTATACCGCTCGTTGATGGGCCCTCCGGGGGTCATAAACGTGATCCGAATATTCGGGTCCTTATAGGAAGACTATTGAAACGTGAACCTTGTCGTTGCTTCTTGGGGTCAATGTGCGAAATGACATTCACCAATGTAAAATCTGAAAGTTAAAAATTCATAAATTGCAGGTTCCCGAAACATCCCCAAGTGTAGGTATGAAACGCTCATGAAGGCACACTCTAGCCGTCATGAACGGTGAGTTTGAGGGAAACCTCCGGACTGCCCACTTCCCACGCCTCCTAAACCATAATAATCCCCCTTAAGCAGATAGAATATGGCTTTTTGTACATTATAAGGAGGTCCCCATATACCCCATATTCGATCTACTCGAGGGGGACCATAATCCCCAACCCCAGCTCCAAAATGAGACACACACACACACACACACACACACACACACCCTCACACACACACACACCCACACACACACACACCCTCACACACACACACACACACCCACACACACACACACACACACACACACACACACCCGCGCACGCACACACACACACAGACACAGCGCGCGCATTCTTTGCAGGAGGCCCTCCGTCCTATCCTCAAAACAATTCACACATGAATGTTTCCAAAAATTAGGGGCACCTGTCGAGGGCTCCCCATAGCGAGGCTTATAGTATTTTGGGGTCTATATGGGGTTCCCTGATTTAATGAGCCAGATCTGCTCGAGGTCTGCGCATCCATCTTTCGAGCGGCCTGCTTTTGCATGTTGTTTTGGCTTTGGTGTAATAATCAGCTTACTGAAGTGAACTAGGGAATAAGGCTAAGGGAACATATTATGTGTGGATGATTCTCCCTCATGCCCTACTTACCAGCAGTAAGGAAGAGGATTTCGGAAGCCCCCCTAAACCCGAAACCCTAAACCCCAACCTTTATGGTAAGGACCCTATAGGAGTCATATAACCCCTAACCCCTAGACCCTTAATTAACAGTCATGAGGTTCTTGATATGGGGATTGGGCTTACACAAATCTCATGATTCTGTGAGGCCTTTTTAAATTTCAGGGTTTAGGGCAGATGACTTAGGGTATTGAATTCCATAGCTAGCATGCGATAGTAGCCGGGAAGGGACTATGATCAAAACTTTCTTCGCCCAACCCTACATGGAAACCAAAGTTGCAGTTTAGTATTTCCTAAACCCTCACAAGCCCTAAACCCTATAAACCCTAAGCCATGATCCGCGCGGTGATAAACATTTGATTTACGACAACGGTCACAGACAGACCAGACTTTCGGACGTACGACTCGTGGGTTTATAGCCCCCCTTACGTAGTATATTGAGGTTATATTAGGGCTATATAGGGATAATGGAAAAGAAAATGGAAACTACTATTTAGGGTTTAGGGTTTGGGGTATATGGTCCCCCTTAAGTGGATAGAATATAGGGTAATATTAAGCTATATTGGGGTTATATGGGGATAATGGAAAAGAAAATGGAAGCTACTATATTGGGTTATATAGGGTGCAGAATATGGGGTATATGCGGATGTTTTTAGAATATACCCAAAGGCATATTCTATCTACTCAAGGGGGTATTTGAGTTCTGCGCTAGGTGTTGCAATAGTCGAAGCGCTGAAGTAGCTAGTGACAGTGATCGCGCATACGCTGCAACTACTATAGGGTTTAGGGTTGAACTGATATCATGTTCTTCTGCATCCGAATACTGGGTTTCTGAGCACGGCAGGACAGCAGAGATCGCATGTATATGAGCCTTGGACGAAAAGTATGGTACATTCCTTGAAGGTCCCCCTGAACCCCCCTACACATCCTATCATAGGTTCCCCAACCTAACTTTAGTCCGTAGCTCATATATACACATGCGTATCTACATTTTGCAACTACGCGGGGTGGTTGCTTCGTCGAGTCGCAAATCATGCTGGTAATGTAGACCCGTCATTAATTAACCCCTCCCCCTTAGTTGGGATTATTCTAGGGATCCTACTATCAAGGCGCTCCAAAAGAAGAGGTGATTAATCAGGGGTCTACATTATGATTGCAGGCTGAATCTGTGGCCAACAAACAGAAGCAGGATCCTCCTAGCCCTGTCCTCCAGCATCCCGGTAATTCCAGTAAGGCGCTATGCCTTAAACCCTACACCCTAAGCCCTATACCTCAACCGTATGGTTCTTGGCTTCGGGTCTTGCGCAAGCTCGGGTTTTGGAGCTTCTGCTTTAAGGGGCCTGCTGCGTCAACTACCTGAACACCGGCCTCAATGCACGCGTTGATGCCAGACGATGAAACGCCTGGGACCAGACATCTGTCTCGCCATGCATTGCTTTGACTGATGTTCTTACAGCTACTGCGGGTCATAGGGACCACAAGGACGATATATGGGGAGGGTGTTGAAGACATCAGCTATAAGTATCCAATAAACCGGCTCCTCTTCGTCGAGCCTTACAAAAAGGATCCTTCTATTTACGGGATTCATGACACCATCTTTTAAACACACGTCCAAATGCGGGTTTCCTAAAAACAGGGATACCAATCACAGCGCGGAGTACATACATATATACATATACAGATCATGAGGAAATTTTAACAACGCATGCGTGGTTGGCATAAGAAAGCCCCAAAGTTCGTGGCAACACGAATCCTGATTGGCAGAGGTAGCCCTCATAATTGCCGATACAACTTTGAGGTCTGCGTGGTACACGCTATCCCAAACCCCCGCCTAAAGGATCCAAAAAATCAAACCCCAACAATATGAACCCCATTGCTCCATTGGGGAAGCTAGGGGATTTTCATATAGGGGGTTCCATTTTTTGGATCCTTTAGGGGGTCTGGGTATACCATGCTTGCACGAGGAATCCAGAACCACAATATAGGTGATTATCGGGGTTTAGGCTTTAGGGTTGCTCTACATCATATCCAACAATAAGGGGAATTCGGCCACCCCAACCCCAAACTGGTGGATAATCACATGGAAAAGAAAAGATAGTGAACTGGAAGCTGTTTTTTGTCGGGGTTGCCGCATTATGACTTAGCTTATGCATCATGAGAGGATTTTGGGAAAGCCCCTAAGTATATGGGATTGCCCAAACCCCTTTTTGGCAAGGCTGTTCCTCAACGATGGGACGCGTTCGGGCACGCTTTTAGTTCAGTGATTTGGGGGCTCTCATTGAGGATTATCAAGTACTCAGAAGACTAGCTATAGGTCCTGCGAACCTCCACGTGCAGCTGCGCCAACACTCGCAAATTACGGCTGAGGAAAGCTGCAGCCACCTTCGAGAGAACAAACATAGCAGACAAGGCCCCGGGCAGTTCACTGCAGGGATTGCGTAGCCGTTCTCCTTGGCGTGGTTCAGCAAGTCCACCAGGCCCTGAGATGTAGCATTCTATGCATGTTCACGGCCCTTCGGCTGTAGGTCCTTGGGGATTTCTCTCATGGACACTGAGAATACATGTAACCCCAATATAACCCCGTTATACTACAGTAGTGTCCATTTTCTTGTCCATTATCCCAATGTAGCCCCTATATAGCCCCTATATAATCCTTATATAACCCAAATATATTCACTATAACCCCAATATAATCCCCATATAACCTTGAGAATTCTGTGGATCCCTCGTCTCAAGGTCTCTGGCAAGGGGCTTGCACCTTTTAGTGCGTCCGGCTTAATGGATTTTCAGAAAAGATGTCAGGTCTTCAGATATATAGGAGCTCAATAGAGCTTCAAGAATCTGGCTTCCAAAGTTATGCATTTTTCGTGGTTTCCATTGTTTTTGGGTGAGTGGGTAGGGGCATGGCACGTGGGTGAATGCTTAACATTGTCCGGAAATGCAACAATCATCCTCAGTAGAGAGAGCATGTAGCCTAGACCCTGAACCTAAACAGAACCTACTCCCCTATAATCCCCTATATAACCCCAGTTTCCATTTCATTTTCCATTTTCTTTTCCATTTGATTCTCCATTTTTTGGGGGTAATATCCATATATACTCCAATATACTATAGTAGTTCTGGCTCGACAGTTCATCTGTGAATATTTTTGTGATTAGGAGCAGATTTTGATAGAACATAATCGGACCCCCCTGGGAGAAATCTAAACCCTTATCGTGAAACCTAAACCCAAGCAGGAAACCCACAAACCACATCCTAAAAGCTTGACCCTGAATCACGAAGAACATGTGCAGTGTAGTTTATAGCATCCTTAAAACCAGCGGTCTCCCAAAAGTTCCCTGGCAGCCTCTACCCTCCATGTGAATCTTCCCGAATGGTCTGTTCCAGAAGGACGAAGTCCAAAACCATGGGAACACCAGCCAAAGCCACTCAAAACCTCAAGCTTGTTAAAGCTTAAGCCCTGAATTGCAGACTCTAAGCCCACACAGCAAGAAAGCCCAAAGTTCAGAAGCTCTCAAACTAAGCTTTTCTAGCCTGGCCGGAGACCACACCAGGGTGAACGGACCTTCACAGAAAGGTTGTCCAAATTATGGTCGCCTTTTTCCGTAGTCCCCTCAGACCTATAATGAAAAAGACATGCTTAATGAATCCTTGGGGTTATACTACAATAAACGCTAATTCCTAAGGAGACTACAGTTTGGGGTACCCTGCATGTTAGGGGCCGTATTGCAAGTCATGGTTCGAGGCTCAAGGTTTAGGGTTGTCAACATTGCAGTCCTTGTAGGGCCGCAGAATATTTACTACACGGGTTTAGGGTTTAGGGTTGTTAAAATTATGGTGCCAGAACCTCTCGTTGAACATAGCTAGCCCTGCTGCCCTGCCATAGATAAAGGCGTTTTGGACTGGAGCGAAGCTATCTTCACTTGGTTAGGAACTGGCCATAAGTCTGGAATGGAAAAACGTGGAAACTTGCGGAAGAAAGCCTTCTTTACTCGGGAGTTTGGCACAACGATCCCCAAAAAGTCTCTTAGTGGAACCACCATCATCTCCGCCTTGCCCCTACCCATTATTGAGGTCCAAATCTCTTTGAGCAACTCAGACTTAGTAAGTAGTACCAGGGGAAGGAGAAATTAGGATTCAGGGTTTTGATCGTGGCTGATAAGGGAGCCGCCCAAAAGACCAACTCCCCCCTTTGTGCATGAGTGGTGGAGAACTCAACAGAAAATGGCTATGCGCAGAAGCAGCCAGGCAGGGTTAAGCGCCCTCAGCAGTTGGGAGTGCAGCAGTCTACTGCCAGGCAACGTCTGAACATTGAACCACTTGTATACTGCAAAGGACTCGAACCATCCGCAAAAGGGACAGGGCCCGGCTTCTGGATTAGAGATTAGGGTTTAGGGAGTAAAGTCTGGGCTCAAGTGCAGGGCTGCCTTGCACTGTAGTCAGTGTGGGCCCCATTGACTTTCCCCTACCATGCAGGATCTACGTTGGGAACCCTGCATCAAGGGATCTTTAGCCTACCAAACTCATTCTTTCTAGAACTAGATATACCGCACTGTTTATCCAATCTTGCCTTTGAAAAGAAGTTTCAACACTAGCCCCTAGCTTGACACCCCTTATATACCTCCAAAGTCTGAACTGAGTAGTGACCCTAAACCCTAAAATCCTAAACCCTCAATCCTAAACTCTAAACCCTAAACCCTCAATCCTAAACCCTAAACCCTAAACCTGAGCCCCAGACTCCGGCAGCTTTGGGAATTTGCCCACCGGCTGCTCCCGGCGTGAAAGCACTGGGAACCTGCGTGTCGGGTTCAGAGGCTTCGGGTCTAGGGTTTAGGGTTTTGGCAT